TAAAGGATACAGTTTCCTTGGAAGCGACAGGGAATTTAAGAATTACATTGGAATTTAATACAGCCATAGTGGGAAATAAAGTCATACTGCTGTTTGGTCCTACTACTGGGGTTATGAAAATTAATGCTGACCGACGTATTATTTGTGAAACGAGAGCCTAAGAAACATGAATTGTTTAGAAATAAACACTGGGTTGAAAAATATATATTTAGGGGAAGAAGCCATATATATCGGATGTTATTTAGCGAACGATGTACGGAGAATCTTCAAGAAATTGAATAAAGAGCCAGTGGTATTTATTTTAAATACTTTAGATGAGAAATCCCCTGCAACGATGATGGGTCATTGGATGACTGTGTATGTACACAATAAACCTTCAGGAGCCATTATCGCCCTGTTGGACAGTTTTGGGCTGAAGATGGAATTCCATTCACGTTATTTACAAGAATTCCTCTCTTATTTTGAAGATTACAGAGTTTACATGTTCACACAACGCATACAGAGCATGGACTTCTATTATTGTGGAGCCTATGCCATGTTTTTCGTCTATCAATTATGCAACCTTAACTTGAGAGCTGCACTACATAAATTTGAAACTTTATTTGAATATGGGGAATATGATATGAACGATAGGAAGATAATTCAATTTGCATATTCTAATTTTGCAATGCCTAACTGCAAAAAGACATTTTGCATAGATGGACAGGATAAATGTCTATCGCTGTGTAATGACTTCTCATATTACTAAGCTGTAAGTATATTTCTAGATGTTTGCCATATATTGTCTTTCATATTATTGCTGATTTATTATTATTATTATTATTCTGTGTTGCTAATATGGTTTCTATTTGTTCTTCCAGATTTGATGTGGCAGAGGAACTGGTCTCACAAAAAATTACCAGGATCTGGGATTGCTATGACCAACATCTGAAATATCATGCTTGTTCCCAATTACAATTTTACTGTTAAGACTAGAATGTAAACTTTTATTACCAATAAAATAATAGAAACCTATACAATGTATATTCTTAAACCTCTGATAGGTTAGGTGGGGATGGTTAGTCTAGTCATTTTTGAATAATAACATCAAATACACATGCCAGTAGGACGCCAAAGGTCGCATTGGTTGTCTGGTGACGTCATACATAGTTGACCAGTAAGGTACTGTAATACCTTCACACCTATATGCTAATGACCATCAATACATTATCCCTATACCTGAGGTCGCTTTTCACGATGTCACTAAACAACAACAATAACTGGTCTGTAGAATGTATTTGTTTGTTATATATAATATGTTAGGTTAGGTTAGGTTAGGAAGGTTTGATCGGGTTTATGAATAACAGAAAATATAAGCAATGAGCGAAAATACGAGCTATTGTAGCTGAATATCAACTCTGATGAAGCACAGAGTATAGGTGAGGTATTAAGCCTGATTAAGAGTTCACACTTATGTGTGAACCTCCTGGGATCCGCATTTAGCCCGTTGACGCCTCGCGCCACATTAGGGATGATGACGTCAGAAAAGGTGGTAACTGCAGAAGGCCTTATTTTCAAAACATGAGAGGCTTGCTTTTACTGAATGAGTTTTTTTATTTGTTAAATGCTACAGTATGGTGTGGGAGGTATGTTTTGAGCGAATGTGAGACGCGCATAAGGAAATATTGGATTACTACTGAACTCGCATTGAAATCACCAATGCCCAGGGCTCTGTTTTTTAATATAAACGACTGATAGCAGTTTTATTTTTTGCCCTATGCTCAATAAACAATCCTTTAAGAAAGATTGTCAAAGCTCAAATTACATTCTCTAGAAAGACGACGACGAAGAAGAAATAGGGGTGACATGATAGAGGTGTGACTGAATGGTCATAGTAAAGGGGAATATTAATAACCTATTAAAACGTATCAACATGAAACAGAATAGGAAATGAATTGGATAAGTTTTAGATTTAGGAAAAAGACCTGGGTAAATACTGGTTCTGTAAACAGGGTTTGAACTCATTTCTTATGTTATTATTATGTAATCTTAGCTATAAAATGATCTTAGACAATGGGAAACCGTATGGTAATACCTAATTGTGAAAAAACGAGCTTATAATGATTAACGCCATTGCACATTAGGCTTGACAGAAGGCAGCATTTGAATCCCCCTTTGCTATAAATATTGAAAATGGGAATAATTACACTATAACAGAAAACGGACTTATACAGGGAAGATGAAGACGGGGGTGACGTCATTGACCATTAGCAATGTCTGTGCATGGCCCACTGGGGTAACGAAATCAAAACTGTAACGAAAAACAGGTACGCCAGAACGTGTCCCATCAAAACTGTAACGAAAAACAGGTACGCCAGAACGTGTCCCATCAAAACTGTAACGAAAAACAGGTACGCCAGAACGTGTCCCATCAAAACTGTAACGAAAAACAGGTACGCCAGAACGTGTCCCTCGAAAAAAGCAAAACGGACACGCGTAGGCGTACTTTCCACTACTGGGGAGGACAGGTACACAGAGAATGACAAAGAGGTGTGTGAGGAACTCAACAAAAGGTTCCAGGAGGCCTTTTACAATAGAACAAGGAGAAGTCACGGCGCTAGGAGAGGTAGCAGCAAATCAGGCGACCTTGGAAAGATTCGAAATTACAAGTGATGAGGTCAAGAAGCACCTATTGGAGCCTGGACGTGAGAAAAGCTGTTGGGCCGGACTGAATCTCACCATTGGTATTGAAAGAGAGTGCAGGAGCACTTTGTTTGCCACTCTTCATAGTGTATAGTAGGTCACTGGAAACGGGAGACCTACTAGAAATATGGAAGACGGCTAATGTAGTCCCAATATACAAAAAGGGTGACAGACAAGAGGCACTGAACTACAGGCCAGTGGCCTTAACTTGTATACAATGCAAGGTGATGGAGAAGATTGTGAGAAAAAACCTAGTAACACATCTGGAGAGACGAGACTTCGTGACAACCCATCAACATGGGTTCAGGGAGGGTAAATCTTGCCTTACAGGCTTGATAGAATTCTACAATCAGGTGACAAAGATAAAGCAAAAAAGAGAAGGATGGGCGGACTGCATTTTTTTGGACTGTCAGAAAGCCTTTGACACAGTACCCCATAAAAGGCTGATGCATAAGCTGGAGAAACAGGTAGGAGTAACTGGTAGGGTGGTCCAGTGGATAAGGGAGTACCTAAGCAATAGGAAGCAGAGAGTTACGGTGAGGGGTGAGACCTCAGATTGGCGAGAAGTCACCAGTGGAGTCCCACAGGACTCTGTACTCGGACATACCCTGTTTCTGATATACATAAATGCCCCCAGAGGGTATAGACTCATTCCTCTCAATGTTTGCTGACGACGCCAAAATTATGAGAAGGATTAAAACAGAGGAAGACAGCTTGAGGCTTCACGAAGACCTGGACAAGCTGCAGGAATGGTCGAACAAATGGTTGTTAGAGTTTAACCCAAGCAAATGTATTGTAATAAAGATAGGGGTAGGAAGCAGGAGACCAGATACAAGGTATCATTTGGGAGACGAAATACTTCAGGAGTCAGAGAGAAAGACCTTGGGGGGGGGGGGGGTTGATAGCTCGCCAGACCTGTCCCCTGAAGCTCATATCAAGAGGACAACATCAGCAGCATATGCCAGGTTGGCTAACATAAGAAAGGCATTTAGAAACTTGTGTAAGGAATCTTTCAGAACATTATATACCACATATGTCAGACCAATCCTGGAGTATGCGGCACCAGCATGGAGTCCATATCTAGTCAAGCATGAAACTAAACTGGAAAAGGTTCAAAGGTTTGCCACCAGACTAGTACCCGAGCTGAGAGGTATGAGCTACGAGGAGAGACTACGGGAATTAAACCTCACTTCGTTGTAAGACAGAAGAGTTAGGGGGACATAATCACAACATTCAAGATTCTCAAGGGAATCGACAGGGTAGATAAAGACAGGTTATTTAACACCAGGGGCACACGCACAAGGGGACACAGGTGGAAACTGAGTGCCCAAATGAGCCACAGAGATATTAGAAAGAATTTTTTTAGTGTCAGAGTGGTTGACAAATGGAATGCATTAGGAAGTGATGTGGTGGAGGCTGACTCCATACACAGTTTCAAGTGTAGATATGAGAGCCCAATAGGCTCAGGAATCTGTACACCTGTTGATTGACGGTTGAGAGGCGGGACCAAAGAGCTAGAGCTCAACCGCCGCAAGCACAACTAGGTGAGAACATGCAAGCCCCCATATGCAAGCCCCCCCATGCAAGCCCCCACATGCAAGTACCCATGCAAGCCCCCACATGCAAGCCCCCACAGGTAACATCCACATTCAAGCCCCCACACGCAACCCTCGTACGCAAGCCCCCACATGCAACATCCACACATGCAGGCCTTCACATTCAAGTGCCCACATGCAAGACCCCCCAAATGCAAGTGCCCACATGCAAGACCCCCCAAATGCAAGCCCCCCCCCACATGCAAGAGCCCACATGCAAGTGCCCACATGTAAATCCCCACATGCAAGCCTGCACATTCAAGTGCTCACATGCAAGCCCCCCACATGCAGGGCCCCCCCACATGCAAGTGCCCACATGCAAGCCTACATATGCAAGTGCTCATTTGCAAGGCCCCACATGCAAGCCCAACACATGCAAGCCCAACATGCAAGCCTCCACATGCAAGTACCCACACGCAAGCCATCACATGCAAGCCCCCACATGCAAGCCTCTACATGCAAGCTCCCACATGCTCGTGCCCACATGCAAGCCCCCCACACCCAAGCCATCACATGCAAGCCCCCACATCCAGCCCCCCACATGCAAGCCTGCACATGCAAGGGCCCACATGCAAGCCCCAACATGCAAGCCCCCACAAGCAAGTACCCACATGCAAGATCCCACACGAAAGCCCACACATGCAAGCCTCCACAAGCAAGTACCCACATGCCAAATCCCACAAGCAAGCCCACACATGCAAGCTCCTACATGCAAGCGCCCAAATGCAAGTGTCCACATGCAAGTGCCCACATGCAAGCCCCCACAATCAAGCCTCCACATGCAAGCCCTCACATTCAAGTCCCTACATGCAAGCTCCCACATGGAAGCCCCCGCATGCAAGCCCCCGCATGCAAGATACCACATGCATGCCCCCACATGCAATCCCCGAGATGCAAGTGCCCACATGCAAGCCCCTAAATACAACCTCCACATGCAAGCTCCCACATGCATGCCTCCACATGCAAGCCCCACATGCAAGCTCCCACATGCATGTGCCCACATGCAAGCCCATAAATACAACCTCCACATGCAAGCCCTCACATGCATGCCTCCACTTGCGAGCCCCCACAAGCAAGCCCTTATATGGAAGCCCCCACATGCAAGCCCCGCATGCAAGCCCCGAGATGCAAGTCCCCACATGTAAGACCCCACATTCAAGACCCCACATGCAAGCCCCAACATGCAAGCCTTCACATGCCAGTGCCCACATGCCAGTGCCCACATGCCAGTGCCCACATGCCAGTGCCCTCATGCAAGATTCCACATGCAAGACTCCACATGCAAGACTCCACATGCAAGACTCCACATGCAAAACTCCACATGCAAGTGCCCACATGCAAGCGCCCACCTGCAAGCCTTTACAAGCATGTGCCCACATGCAAGCCCCCATATGCAAGCCCTACATACAAGCCTCCACACTCAAGTGCCCACAAGCAAGCCCCCATATGCAAGCCCCACATGCAAGCCCCCCACATGCAAGCCTCCACAAACCAGTGCCCAAATGCAAGCCCCTACATGCAAGCCTCCACATGCAAGCCTTCACATGCAAGCCTTTACATGCAAGTCCCCACATGCAATCCTTCACATGCAAGCCTCACATGCAAGTAGGTAAGTAATTATCAAAAGAAGGCACCAAACCGGGAAGGCTATGTACCTCTCCCCCCACATGCAAGCCCCAACATGCAACATCCATATTCAAGCCCCCACGCGTAACCCTCATATGCAAGCCCCCCACATGCATGCCCCCACATACAACCTCCACATGCAAGCTCCCACATACAAGCCCCCACATGGAAGCTTCCACATGCAAGCCCCCACATACAACCTCCACATGCAAGCCCCCACATGCAAGCTTCCACATTCAAGCCCCCACATGCAAGCTCCCACATGCAACCTCCACATGCAAGCCCCCACATGCAAGTTCCCACATGCATGCCCCACGTACAACCTCAACATGCAAGCTCCCAAATGTATGCCCCCAAATGCATGCCCCCACATGCAAGCCACCCACATGCAAGCCATCTACATGCAAGCCACCCACCTGCAAGCGCCCACATGCAAGTGCCCACATGCAAGCTCCTACAAGCAAGCCCCCACATACAACCTCCACATGCAAGCCCACCACATGCAAGCCCCCCTTATACAACCTCCACATGCAAGCCCCCAAATGCATTCCACCACATGTAAGCCCCCACATGCAAGTGCCCATACGCAAGCCCCCCCATATGCAAGCCCCGACATGCAAGTCCCCATATGCAAGCCCACACATGCAAGCCTTCACATGCAAACCTCCACATGCAAGTGCCCATATGCAATTGTGGGCACTTGCAAAGTGTTCGATGTGTCGTTAATGTGCATTTTCAAAAGTGAAATGTAATTCTGATCAGCTTCCATATATACTTTATACACATACATATACATACACACACACACAAACATATATACGTACATATAAATATATGTTTACATATATACACACACATGCATTCACATACATTTGTTTCTTTTACTCTGACGGGGTGAGATAGCTGATAGAGAAACTAGTGTGCAATTAAGCACTTTATCACTGAAGGCGATGAAGGCGCTTTTACAAGCTCAGGTTATATAGTTACATCACATACATAGATTGTATAATTGATACATTACATGGTTAATCTTGCGTACAAGTCCAATATATCAAGTGTTCCAGTACTCGTATAGTAATTACACAGTTCAGCATACCTTAGCCCAGGAGGGCGAAAGTCAGTCAAAATTGTTCTACAATATAATGTTCAAGAGAGTGCATGTTTTCTCTTTCACAAAGTTGACACATTGTGTACTCGACATTTGGGTTTTGAGAAAGCTGCCAGATACGTCTATATCCCAGGCGTATTCTGGCCACTATAACATCACATTGCTGGGTTCTTGTTCTATTAGTCCCATATGTGAATGTCTCCTCACGATATCTATCATAATATTTAATGCTACAACTTTCAGGTCTTTGTTAATTTGTTAGGTCTGTTAGATCTTCGTTAGATATTTGTTTAAGTATTCTCTTTGTCACTGCTAATGAAACGCCCATATCAATTTCTACCACTGGTTTTCTACAGGCTGTCTTTGCAAGCATACCAACAGTGTCATTCCTTGAGATGCCAACATGTGATGGTATGCATAGGAATTTAATTTCAAATCTGTTTTCTTTAGCAGCTAAAACATTCATTCGAATCTCGCTGACTATTTTCTGGGTGTCACTACTATGTGCGTTCAATGCCAGGAGTGCACTCTGCGAGTCACAGTATATAAGTCCACTGCCTTTATCTTTTAGAAATTCAGTGGCAAGGTATATGCCTGCAAGTTTGGTTTGAGTTGTACTTGCCCAGTCATTAACGCGCTTCATTACTGTATGTACGAGAGAGGATTGTTCAAATATATTGCATGCACATGGGGCTTTATGTAGGGGGAGGCTTGCATGTGGAGGGCTTGTATGAGGGGTTGCATGTGGGGGGCTTG